AAAAAAGAGCGTGCCCCCGAATTCTGGCACAGTGACGATACCAAGCGCCAGACAGAAGCCTCTAGGTCAACGCTAAAGAAGAAAACAAGCGTCCAAAGACACCCCGGGCACGCCCACGCCATCTCTACCCCCCCCCCCCCCGGAAGTGTAGTTTCGCCGACCAACCTCCTCATATCGGCCGCCAAGCAAACCCTGGAAGGACCTCGAAGGAAAGGGTCGTAGTGAGGCAGAGTTGCGTCACGTGTCCCAGGCAGCTCTCGAAACGCCTCGTCATTTGCCCAGCCTTGGCTGTGCATCGCGCCGAAGAAACGAATAGAATTTTTTGGAATCTATCGCGAAAGCTATTTAAGCGAGCAGCCGAGAGTGGTGATCAGGAGATGAAGCCAGCTTACGCCAGAGTGCGTAGGTAGGAGATAAAGAAAGTTTTGCGCAAGTGTGCGTAGGGTCATTTCGCCGCGTCGGCGATGCCTTCTGTCCTCAGTGACAAAGCAGGTGATGAAGAGAGTTTCTACCTGAGGGGTGAAAGCTTGTATTACAAGCAGAATAGTGTGTCCACCACCAGCGAGTGAAGACGCGTCGCAGCAGCGGCGCGTGGGAAGCCGACGTGTTACCGGCGAAGAAGTTTAGCGCTTGGAGAGCCGCCAATTGAAGACGCGAGGTTTCCTGGAAGAGAAGCTTCGGGGGCAGCATATCGACAACAGCGCTGGACTTTGAGTGAGTGATTCTTGGAAAATTATCGTTCAGACTTTGTTTCAAGGACTTTGGACTAAATAAGTTTTGAAGCTTTTTAGTCTTTAAGTGTCTTAATTTTTGGATGCATGTGATTGCATTGTAGTGCGTATTGTTGTTTGTGTCCGTCGCTTCGAGTGTATCGATTGTATTGTGTAGTCCGTTGTTTGATTGGTGAAATATTGTACTGAACTGTGGCCAAGTGTGCATATTTGTGTATCATTTGATCTGCCACACTTGCGAATATAATTTTGTTTTGTTTATCCCCTCTCAGCTCTGACTCGTTTTTTGGACTACAGCCGACATCCGCTGGCGCGCCAAATAGAACCACTTGTTAATTGTCCGTGCTTTCGTGGGGCAGTTCAGGGGGCAGATACTTCGGCCCTTGGAATTAGCCCGACGATCGCCTCCCTAATTAACGGGAGCTATGACAAATTCTTCGCATTTAAAAGGGGCGTGCTTGGGCTTCGTAGCCTTGGCTGTGTTACCAGAGAAAGTTGTCGCCGAGTGTACATGTAGAGCAGAGAAATTTTAAGCGCTTGTTCTTCTTTTTTAGACAGAATAATAATTAAGATTCACAGAAACTCTGGTCAAATAAAGTGTATTTTATTTATTTCATTTCGTTGATTTCCAATACTGCTGGTCTGATTTTGTATCGCTCTCGTGGAAGGAGGGCAATAGAAAACGTACGTACAATATACGAAAAATTTTTAGAACAAATAAATATGCTAGAAATGTAGGTATATGGTACAGTAAATATGTCACAGCATATAGTGGTTACATAGGTACCCCACGATGAATTTGCATACAATTAATACATCAAACTTCAAACAGATTTTATGCACTTCAAATACTTCGTGGCGTGGATAAAATCTTTTCGAGCATGCCATGCACCTACCGCATGGCGTTAAGGGAATACGTACAGTAACGTGTGTGCCTTTTGTAGTGCGTGACCGGCTTTAAACCATGAAGTTGTAGAGCGTGGTGCAGGAGGAACTGAGAGCTACAGGTTAGGAACTGTTCACTCTTCCCCCAACACGCGAGCTTTCGCGTGGGGTGATTCAAAAGGGAAAGAGGAGGGTATGTTTGAATTGTTCCTGTCTTCCCCGCGCCGCCCGACCGGTGGCGGCAGCCAAGCACAAGAGTTTTTGTTTGTTTGTTTGTTTGTTTGTTTGTTTGTTTGTTTGTTTGTTTGTTTCTTGGCGATGCTGCAAGTGCCGTCATCGGGGCGTGGCGTAAGAGGATGCGCTACAAAGTCATGATGATAATCACTCAATAGCACTCAATAGTTCTGACACTCAATAGCACTGTACGTTCGTGCCACAGAATATTACTGCAGTATTTCATGTTTTATTGCGTGGCTTGTATACCGAACTCGTGTGTTTGTAAAGCATGAGTTCGTTTCAATGAATTTTCAAGCACAAGAAGATATTTTCACTGTTTTCACTTGTAAGCACATGCGTGGTGTGGATATGGACTTGCAGGAGAGCACTAGTGAAAGTGAAGCTCGGAACTTGCGGTGAATTTTCGGTTTGAGGCCGAAGGTGTGTTGTTAAAGACACTGAGCCCACGGAAGTTAAAATGGAGCTATTATGGGGCCCTGGACGCTTAGAAGATATTCATGTGCATGAAGCTCTGCAGTCATTCGGAAAGATCAAGTCTATTTCCGCGGAAACTTCGGGAGTGTCGGAGATGGAACAAATGCGCAACCTTAATCGAGATGTCATATAGACACTCGCTGACGGAGTCCGTGTGTCCTACGTCCGACATCTGAATACTCTCAGTTTGCGGTATACAAAGCCTAGCGCTAATTCATGGGAGACCACCGTTATGCCTGCGCTGCAATAGACTAGGACGCATTCGTTGACACTGCCGGACACCACGCTGTCAGGACTATCGGGGATTTGAGCACACGGCTGAAAAATGTGTCGCGACGCATGCCTGTAAACTGCGCCGTCGCATGCGACCACCTGACGAGGCTTGGGAAGAACACGTAATGGATATTACGGAAGTCTTCAAGGCCACTGGGATCTTGACGTCGTAGTTGCTGAACCCTGTGCTGCTGACAGAGAGGAGGGTAATGGCTGTGTGTGTTACCCGAGAAAGCATAGAGAGATGATGACGTGACAGGCAGTGGTGACAAGTAGGTGGTCCCTGCATCTGAAGTCTGCAGACACTCAGAAAGAAAGCCTTGGCAGTACAGTTCTGATGTACAAGAACTGTATACAGAGATGACTACTGAAATTGCAACTCTGAAAAGAAGATAGATGCCAAGGTGCTGTCCCAGAAAGTCACTTCTGCAACGGTGAATGTTTGTGGATGGCGATTCAAGCAGAAGCAGCTACAGCTCCACCAGTTGCTCTTCAGCGGACATATTTACTTCGCTAACGTGGTTGCGCAGTTTTTTATGTGAACATTTATTTCCTCGTCGTTCAAGAAACAAAGAGTGAGGGTGAAGTGGATACAGAAAGGGGGTATTTGTCTCTGATTTGATCTATTTTTGTCGCATGCTGTGGGCCTTTCAGCAGGCGGCCTTCCATTTCTCAGGAAGAGTTGACTGTATTCTTCCCTAGCATAAAGTGTTGGTGAAGAGGGGTGGCTGAGACAATGTTATGTTACATTTGATGGTTTGCTGTGGCGCTTAATCAACGCATACGCCTTTAATAATGTACCACGGTGCACTCATTTCTTTCAAAGTTTGGCTACTTTCTTAGATCCTGACCATAACATTGTGCTCATGGGCAACGCACGGATGGATGCATGGACGGACTGACGCTTCGCCCCTCTCATGATCATTCACTCCATGGATATGCTGTGACACCGTTTTTATTGACATGCAATGCAATGCAACTTCTATCTACGACGACTATGACGACACGGTACATACGATCGCTGGCGTAAGGGGCTTTGGCCCTAAAGAGAACTTTGAAGACGGTGGAGCATCACGTTCAATAGTAGAACGCGCCCCCGTGCGCGTCGGTGCCTTCTCGCTCGGTCGCCTCCCTTCGACACATCTACCGTGCCGCAAGGAAAAGAACGTTTGTCGTAACACTGGTAGTTCGAAATTATCCTACAAAGCCTACTGCACTATGAACCTTCAAATCGGCGGGGGCTGCTCTTTCTTTCTCGAATTAGCGAAGCACCCATCATGCAGGCGCGTTCTGCGCCGATGCGTACTTTCTTGATGCCGTAACTAATGATGGTGGTTAATTAGGCCTGCACGCTTTGTAGCTACTTGGCCTTCAACCCAACCCATCATCACGTAATTCAAGTTTTCACGCCTGGTGCAATTCTACGCTTCGGCTACTCTGCGTTACACCTGTAAAGGAGGCTCCTGGCAATATACGTGACATTCGTACAAGGTATTGTTTCCCGAAGGAACGGGAATGGTTCTTGGGTACAACGCCTACTGGCCACGCAGTACTATTGCCCTCGGTTCCCACTCGAGCTGAAGATGTTCTATTTAATATTTATTTGTGGGCATCCATCTCGAATGTTCTGTCTCGGACAAGGCTGTTTTTTTTTCGCTCACAACCAACGATGATGCCGTCACGAACGATGACGCCACTGTAATTTCTGCGAAATGAGCTCTTTCACGCTTTCGCGTTAAAATGTCAAGCTAAAGGTGAAAAGCTGTATGCTGGCTACACCCCTGGAGTCTGCGTTAGAATCGATGGCCCCTCGACAATGCACAACCTGGATAACTTCGGATGTTCAAGTAGCTGCCTACTGAAAAAGAAGAAAGGCAATGTACTCGAAGTAAACCTCCACCGTTTGCTGCGTGGTTGGACGTCGTCTGTGAACTGCGCTTGCTTCGCACCTTATGTCGCCTTCGTCGGTGGCGACGCGTCATTGCGCCTCACAAGCCACTGCAGGGAATCGGGCAGCCCACTGGCCTGTCTGGACACTCAGGCACACTGGCTGTTAAGGGCATAATTCACTTTGCATTTTTAATTCTCTCACCACCTTGTCTTCGCTGTTTTAAAGCTTCTAAAATGAAGAGCTTGACTTTTGGTGGTATTTTACAGCAGACGCGCTGGGCGGGACTATAGAGAGTGAAACAAAGGCCAGCAGAAAGAGAAGCCGAGAGTCGCACGGCTCTTTTTCACAAAGGCACGGGGGCAGTATTACGACGACTACCGTTCTCTCTTTTGACGGCACGCGCTTCTCAAAAGGCGGGCTGATCTGGCGCAGCGCAATCGAAGCCTCCCCTCGGCAACGTTCAAATGGATTCTCCCGGGCTTTCCCGGCGTGCGTCGCTCCGTCGCTGCAGCCGCTCGCGCGCGCTCTCCGCCGCCGCTGATGTCGGTAGACTGGCTTCGCTGTGAGCTGGCCGCACGATCCGTTTTGTGCCGCGCGGCTGGCGAAGGCCATGGCCGTGTTGTGTCTGCGTTTGGTGCCCGGACAAGCGTCCTAGCGCGCCGGCCGCCGCTGTCACGCCTCGCGCTGCGCTGTCAAAGGCTGGAAAGAGCGTGAATTTGCTCTGAAGAGTCGGACTGCGCGGCGTGCTCGCTGGTGTCAGGCGTCGTCCAGTTGGGCTCAGTTTTGTGGACGTGCCAATTCGAAGAAGCCTCTCCCAGCCTTGTGACAGTGTCGTGGACGTTGAGGCTTTTTAGTCGCCTAGTCCGTCGTGTTGACGCTACGTCGCTGTTTCGACGAGTCAAAGGCGACAGGCGAGCGAAAGGTGAGCGTCTTTTTTTTTTTTTTTAAGATCTTGTTCGCGCGGCGTTGCAGTTCGCCGAAATGGCCTCGCTTGGGAACCTCCCAATATTGTGCGCCCTCGAAATGACACACGACGGCGTGTTATGCCATTTCATAATACTAATATCAATGATCGGATCTCGCGACTGCGGGAGTGCGGTGTCTTCACCATCGCGAAACGACACTCAATTCCTCATGCTGTCCGTAGCATCAATCGCAAAAGGCTCATCTTTATTTGTTTGAAGGGTCTCTTATTGCTTATGTCGGTCGATCCGTCAAACTGTCTCCACAAGTGACCGGGACCATAGATCGCCAAGTTTGTCGAACCAACCAATATATTACTTTCTAACCGTTTATTTTTATTATTATTTTTATTTGTGTGACACATTCTTTCAGATTTTGCGATTGTGAAATGATTCGTACGTCACATTTTACGCTGGATGCGATAGATAATGCAAGGCTGACTTACCTTCAGATAAATATTGACCGAGTGGAAGCGTTTACAATAAGTTCGGTTTCTTCCTTGTAATTATTGTTTCACATTGTTCTTGCTGTTCAATGTAGTATTATTTTTCTACATTTTACGTTCTAATACAATAAATACTTCATTGTATGTGTGAAACGCACAACTTGTGTTTATTTTGCTGAGTTCCACGTCGACGTGGCTGGTTACTTGAGCATCCGCTGGCAGTGAAACGGAAGTGGCAGATTTGCGTTTGTACAATCTATTTGTGAAAGGTTATTTTAATGTGGGAAATTTTGCGAAAGAGGTTTCGATTTAAATACTTGCGGTATAACGGAAGTTATATCACATGGATGAAACGCTAGCGCTGCCGGAGCAATTGGTAACTGGGGCGGGCGTTTCTGAGCGGATTCAAGTGAGTTGATTACATATTCTAACTTTGATCTAACCAGCGTCGTCTACAATTTAAGCTTTGTCCGCCTCGGTGGAACAGTGTTTACGGTTTGCTGACCCGAGGGTCGCGGGTGCAGCGGTCGCATTTTGGTGGAGCCGAAATTGTTGAGGCCCGTGTGCTGTGCGATGTCAGTGCAGTTTAAAGAACCCCAGGTGGTCGAAATTTCCGGAGCCCTACACTGCGGCGTCTGTCATAATGATATCGTGGTTTTGAGATGTAAAACCACAGATATTATTAATATTATTATTATTATTATTATTATTATTATTATTATTATTATTATTATTATTAAATGCGAAGCATTTCTTAGCGTACTTCGGCGACTTTGAGCGTATTCATCTATCTATCAGACAGTGTACATATATATACCGATGGCTCCACGAACCGCCAGTGTTCATCAGGTGCAGTAGTTGTCCCAGCAAGAGGTGTTACCATCAGCTTTAGGACTGACCACTCCACGGCATCTACAGCAGCGGAACTAGCTGCTTTGGGCGCTGAACTTTGTGTGGTCAATCGGGAACCACCGCAACAATGGTTGAATTTCAGGGACTCAAGGGCTGCCCTACAATCTGTGCTCTCAGCACTGCGTCGCGGGCCGTACGAACAGCTTGTTTTTGAAATTCGATGCCTGCTCCACACTTCACACGAGAAAAAGCATCATGTGACGTTTCAGTGGCTGCCAAGTCACTGCGGCGTCATAGGGAACGAACAGGCCGATACTGCCGCGCGGGCAGCTCTTAAAGGAACACGAGAAGAAGCCATACCACTTTCGTGGACTGATGCAGCCAGTAATCTTCGACGACTTGCGAGTGAAGTCACGTTTTCATTATGGTTCCCACCAAGCAACGAGACGAATCGTCGACACCACCTGTCCGCTTAGATGGCTCTCCGCATGCCCACTGGGCTCGACCGAAGAGAAGCCACCCTTCTTCATCGCTTATGGCTAGGAGTGGCATTTACAAAATCTTATTCCTTTGTCATAGGAATGGCCAACAACGCTATCTGCGATGCCTGTCGTTGCGAAGATACGCTACACCACATCCTGTGCGACTGTCCGTTGTATGACAACCAGAGACTGTCACTGACGTCCGTTCTTGCGCGCATCGACAACAGCCTAATGTCTGTGGACACTATTCTGTCAAGTGCCCGAGAGAAGACATTGCAACAGTAGGCGACAAAAGCTCTGTTGAAATTCCTACGCGACACGGACTTGAACAAGCGGCTGTAACAGCAATGTCACACACCGCGAAAGACAAGACTGGACAATGACTGAATGTGCGCGCGTGTGCTGCCGAATGTGCTGTGTTTATATATCTTCCCTCCCTGCTCTATATCTTTCATCTCCCCCATCACCCTTCCATGCGCAGGGTAGCAAACCGGCTGCCTAACCTCCCTGCCGTTCTTTTCCTCCTATTTTCCTTCCTTCCTTCCTGGCCGTTTCGATAATGGTATCGTTACCAAACTTGGTATGGCACAACATGACTGTATGAAGAACACGTTTGAGTAGTCATAACATGAGTCATTACATGTATGTCATGAATCATTATTTATATTTCATGGTCCTGCAGCTCTTTGCGGCGGTTTCTTCACATGGCATGTTGCAGAATTGGTGTAGTATATGGTAAGATTGCATGGCGAACACAAGCGACAGGCCTTAACATGAAAATAATGACATGCGTATCATGTAATTACATGAACTCATGCCACGCTCATGATGAGCTCGCGGCCGTTTCGCTGGCGTCACATATACCAAATTTGGTATTACAGTACGTGAATGCATGACGAAGGTACGTTACTGGTGCAAGCATGATAATCATGAGATGCGTGTCATGTAACAACATGACTGCATGCCACTGTCATGATGAGCTGGCGGCCGTTTCGCTAGCTTCACTTATATTAAATTTGGTATTACAGTACGTGAATGGACACGACGGTATGATACTGGTGCAAACATGATAAACATGAGATACGGGTAGTGTAACAACATGATTACATGCTATGCTCATGATTCGCTCGTGGCCGTTTCGCTAGCTCCACATGTACCAAACTTGGTATTACGTGACGCGAACGGACGACATAGATAAATGACTCATTTAAACATGATAATCACGACATGCGTATCATGTAACAACATGACTACATGCCACACTGATGATGCGCTCGCGGCCGTTTCGCTAGCATCACATATGCCAAATGTGGTATTACGTGACGCCAATGGATGACGAAAGTATGTGATTGGTGCAAACATGATAATCATGAGATGCCTGTCATGTGAGAATGTGACTACATGCCACAGTCAAGGCGCCAATACATTTCGACGTGACGCGGTTCGCGTGCTCGCCGGCGTTCATTTCGTCGCGTCACGCCGGCGTTGCTATGCCAAGCGCCGGTCCAGCGATATGCTCGCAGGCGCGCGCCGCGCGCCGTGCTGCGTTGCTTTGACGCATGCGCGTTTCAGCGCGTCCGGTGTCCCTCCGTCACGAAAAGAGGGAGACGCAGTGTTGTCGCATCGGCGCGAAATGCAGCATGTCGCAGTTCGCGCCGGTTGCCGTCGGGCCGCGCCTGGCGTCAGACTATAGAGTGCTCGCGTTTTACTAACATAGCGTTGCTGTGCCCAGCGTGCGCCCGTGTCAACGCTACATTGGGGTATATTGGGCCCTTCGTGATGCGCTCGCCGTCGTTTTGCTAGCTCGACTTATACCAAATTTGGTGTTACGTGGCGTCAATGGATAACGAAATATATTACTGGTGCAAACATGATAACCCTGACACGCGTGTAATGTAAGAACATGACAACATACCATGCTTATAGCGTGCTCGCGGCCGTTTTGCTAGCTCCACATATGCTAAATTTGGTATCACGTGACGTGAATAGATGACGAAGGTAAACCACACATCCAACATAATAATTATGACATGGAAGTCATGTACGGCATCATTTACTTCCACCTCGTAACGTTGTGCTGATTTTAAAGGGATCAACATTTCTCATTCGTGCTTCGCATACCATCGATTCCCACTGTACGTGGGATCTGTCAATTTTATTATTATTATTATTATCATTATTATTATTATTACAACTTAAGCTTTAAACTTAGGAGAACTGAGGTGTAATTTCAGTGCCCGACCGCAAGCATGCGATTAACATTGCTAATTACATATTTAACTGTGTATTCCTCAATGTGAAGATAAAATTATGAAGCGACGTCGGTTAATGCCAAAGTATTAGGCAATGTTCTAGCGAACATCTTTGCAGTGCGCTGTCATTAGCGATTTAAATTTGACAGCACATAGTGTCATAGGTAAGTTATTGCGACGACTTCAGTGCGCGATAGTCATCAACGAAAGGGTCATGCGTTTTATGAACAGCTGGAATGGCCAGAGTTAGGGGCTATTCGGCTGTAGTGCATAGTGCATAGGTGACACTTGAGACACGCTGTTTGAACACAAAGAAGGACGCTCGAAAAACACCCATATTACTCAACATGGGCGTGATGTGTTGTGTTCGCTATCGTGTTGTGTACTCCATGGATTTTTTTTTTGCGTCTTTTTTCATGTTCGTATGACGCGTCGGAAGTGTCTCATGTGTTGTGATGAGTCTATAAGGCATGCAATCGTCATCGAAGAGCCTAATTTACTAGCTCATATTTGCCAGTAAGTCATAAATGTCTACACCAAATGTTAACGGGTCCGAAACTGATCCATTGGGCGAATTGCAGTTGATAAGAAAAAGACTTGACGTTATCATTAGAGTGTGGATATTGTAAACGGTTAATCAGAAAATGCGTAATCTGGCCTAAAATGTTAGAATAATATTCAGCTATCTGATAATCAAAACAATACAGTGTCAGGCATGATCTCAAGGCACGAGCGAAATATAAGAACTCCAAATGTGCTCTAAATCTTCAGTCGAAAGATTGGAAGAATTTCCGGAAAAGGAGGATAAACAATTATCTTAACAAAAGTTGAACCGTTTTTGCAGCAGGAAGGCTATATTTGATTTGACCTGACCAAATAACAAACTGCGGGGAAGCAAAGCAAGGCAGAGTGGCATCATTTGTATAGT